CTAGAATAGACAGCTGTATTTAAGGGATACCAAGGCAGACCTAGAATGGGACCCAGGTTGTCATCCCTCTGTCTGGTCGTATGCAAAGCAAACCTTTGTGAGCCCCCCAAAACAACCTGTGGGCAGCAGCCTCTATCAAGAAAGGCATTTTGCAAGAATACTGTCTAGGACTCCGAGAAGCCTGCATTTGAGTTTCTGTTCCCTGTGATTCAAGTTCACAAGGGCACGGGAACAGGATACTAACCAAACTCCATCCAAATCTTGTTAGTCTCCATCAACAGGCTAGTGGCCTGTTAGAAACTTCTGGTGTAGATTAGCCAACTCCACACAAACTAGTTTTCTTTGTAACTTTGAAAGACATTTACAGTTCTTGTCTCTCCAATGTCACATCCAAAAGTCAAAGACAAGGCAGACTGTTTCACTCTGTGTTGTCTAGTTGCGGTTTCTGCCTTATTAAAAGGTTTTGAAATCAGTAGTGAAGGATGAGGCCAGCCTGGGTTCCTGGCCCTTAGCTGAAAGACACCACACAAGACTCAGTATTTTAAAGTCAACACTAGCAATAGTGAACACCATAGCAAAACACTTTTCAACTATATCTGTATCTAGGTCACTTGACACATGGGCCCATCTGTAGCATGAGAGACTTCTAAATCTGTGCCTTTGCTTCGTGCCAACGTGTATCAGAACTGCCTGTCCGGAGTGCATGGCCCTGCACAACCACCACCTACAGCAGTTCAAATTTTTGCCATGTCCTGTGCCCACTGTACCAGTGCCTCTTTCTAGCCATGTAGCCACAGCACAGAGGCAAGGATGAGTTCATCTTTTCTATGGGTAGAGACCTAGAAGGCTGGTATAATAGAAACGAATCCAGTTTTTATCCTGCAGAAGAACTGCCAGTGCCCTTTACACAGCAATTCAGGAAGCCATCCCTTCCCGGGAGCTCGGAGCTGTTCAGCAAATTAACTGAGGCTTTATCTGTTTGAACTGATTTGGTTTGGCAACTCAAGAATGGGGGAGGTGGGAGAGAAAACTAACAGGAAATGGGAAATCAGGCGAAGGGCAGTGAGATTCTCAGTGGACTGACTGCAGAGCCACCCAGAACAGGAAACGGAAGCCAGAGGCTTATCTAGTGACCTGATTTCCCACTGTGCAATCCCTCCGCTGCATTTAATTAAACAAAATCAAGTTTCCCAGGATTAGCATATATGTCAAATGTCCCTTCCTCTTAGTAGATTGGCTCCCTGTTTAGTGTCCCTTCTGTTGTTTGTGCTTCGACCTAAGTATTACTAAAAATTACAAGCACTTAAAAATAATTTGAGACCATTATTTCATGAGATCTAATTATAGTCTCCCGTGGCTTCGCTGGTCAGGCATTATTCATAATACTGCTCCGGGAACTGGTCCAGGTTCAAGGTTAATTAAATTTATGATTACAAACAGCACAGTGGACCAAACAACTTTAAAGCCATGTCTGAATCAATGTGGCAAATGCATGATACGAAAACATTTTTGTGAGCACAGAATTCTGATGTCCAGGTTTCTAAAATCGAGTGAACACACGGACTCCGAATCCTACTCACAGCTACACCGCCTCTCAGCTTTTTGCCTAGTTATGGACTCAGTGCTCAGAACACTTGGAAGAGCCAAAATGCTCTTGAGAAACAACAAACAGCAGAGGGGACCAGCTTTGCCAAATAGAGAGGTGGGTGAGAGGAGTGCGAACAAAGCAGAAAACATGAGCATGGGAAGACCATAACAACCCCGTCCAGCTTGTATCCTAACTTTAAAGTTCCAGACACAGAAAGTGCTGGGTGTGGTGGTGCACACCTTGCAATGCTTCTGATCCTAGCACGCAGAGGGCAGCCTGATCTACAATAGGGAGTCCCAAGGCTACACAATGAGAGCCTGCCTCAAAAAAACAAAAACACTCCACAAAGCATGATATTGGCAGAGATGATAGAAACACTGCAGAGTCAAAAGAGACTGGGACCAAGGCTGTAGAGACAGCTACTTGTTTCTGAGATCACAGAGTTCCCCAGTGAGCTCGGACCACAGCCTCGGCTCGGTATGCAGTCATCGAATCAGTTCCAGGTGGACCAAGGACTGAAGTCTGGGCAGGAAAATGCTCTCGTGTTATGAGTTAAAGAATCCTGGCCTACAATCCAATCCGTGAGGCGACAGTGCCAGCATTGTGAGGAGCATTGTGAAGTATTGAGTGGAAGGTAGATCAAAGCTAGAAGGGGAGAGAACTGGGGAGGCAGGAAGATGCTGAGCTTGAAGCCAGCTTGGGCTGCATAGCAAAAGCTTTTCTCAGAACAATCAACAGAACAGAAAATGTGGAGAAGGTATTTGTAACATAATTGAAGAAGAGCACCCAGACTATAAACACGTACACATGTGTCTGTGCTCACACAGACCAATCCAGAGGAAATGCACAAAACCCAAAGACGCTCATTCACAAGAGAGGAAAGGGAGCCTGAAATGAACACCTTCACAGTATTCTGGAAAGTGGGCGCTTTGTATGTGAAGTACAGAGGACTGAACCAACCCAGTGGGCCTTGTGTATTAGACACATGCTCTGCCTGTGGTATTAGTAAGATGGTTAAGATCTGACAGAGTCAAGGGTTAAGGGGTATAACAGGATATTTATTGGTACAATTATAAACTGTATCATCCCCAGAAACATTTGTTACCAGCTCGTGCATTTTAGGACCTTCTGCTGTGTATGTGGAGAAACAAAGTCCATCCTCATGCCCACAGGCAAACACGCTCTGGGACATGCAAGCCCTACAGTGGCACAAGTCTGTAATCTCATCTGCTGGTGAAGCTGAAGCAGGAGAATCCCAATGGCAGCTTGAGCAAATTAGTTAGACCTTGTGTCAAAAAGTCCAGAAGGCTGGGAAACGTGTGTGTTATTCTGGCACCAAGGAGGCAGAAAGCAGAATCTGAAGTTCAAGATGAGCTAGTGAGTTCAAGGCCAGCCTGAGCTACCCAGGAGTCTCTCCCACTTCCGGCACCACAGCCCACCCACACAGAGTCCTGTGGTCGTTATCTAACACTGAACTAAAAAAAAAAAAAAAAAAAAAAAGAAAGCTCACTACATAAAGCAGCAAATACTTGGAAACAAACACGTGAAACAGTAGAATGAAGAATTACATGTTCCACCCTGCAGAAAATACAATTCGCTTTTAAACATGGAGGATTTGAAACGAAAAATGGCAAATGTTTCTCATTGTAGCGGGCAGGCTATGCTTTTAAATTTTTATTATTATTGAGAGGAAAGGAACAAGCACATGAAGGTCCTCCCCTTCCTCCTTTACGTGGATTCCAGGGTCTAAGTCAGGTGGCGAGTACTTAACCCTACCACAGCATCTGGACAGCCTCCAAACTACTGAAAGACGGTTTCAGGTTCGAATGTCAAATATGTAACCGTGGCACTAAGTCACTGAAGGCCAGAGGGAGGGAGTGGCTCTCAGCAGCAGCCACTTTGCTCCTGGGTACCTGTTCCCCAATTCTGGCCTCTGCTGCCAAGAGAATCTCTAATCAGTGGGCTACTAGGCTGTTGTGGCTTAAGAAGAGAGCTACGAGCCCAGGGCCAGAGGTTCCATTCTTCAAGGACCAGTTGACCTTGCTAGCTTCGTACCCAGGCTATATGGAGACCCATGCAAGTTGCAGACCCAACAGGATAAGCAACAGCACAGGCAACTCCAATGGGAAATCAAGCTCAAAACTTGCCTCTGCTTACAGCTGTGATTTGTGAGAACCAGCACAAATCTGCTGATGCCACCTAAGCCAT